GCTGACATGCATGTTTCTTGCATGGTACTCGGGCAGGGATGGGCTCAGCAGTTCCCACCAGTTTGAATTAAGAAAGTCAAGGGTATGTCTCCTTGATGAGGCTGAAGTTGGTTCCTTGTTCCCAGCTCCTTATTCCTGGTTCCTTACTCCCAGTTCCTTTTTCAAAGCCAATCTAGACCCAATAAAAACTTGTTATTAATGAATTCCACATCCTAAAGAGAGAGAATTTCATTAGCTATGCATATGTACTAATTAATATGTAAAATAATATCCCACATCAAGTACAGAGCCCTAAATCAAGGTCAGATTAGGATGGGATTATGGGGAAAAATACTTCTTGGGCCACCCCAAATTTTGTGGTGATGCCACTGGGGGACTGACCCAAAGAACCCTGACCACAGTCAAACCCTGACCACAGTCCCACGCAGCCTAAAGCATAGTTTGGCCATGCCAGGCTGCCAACTAACAGCCCCCATGCCCACTATACTAAGTATAATGGTTTGAATAAAGAACTGGCATTTGGGGTTGGGATTATGGCTAGAAATTCTGCTTGGGCCACTCATCAGAATATATCTGTGCCACCAGGGGACTGTCCTGGACATCTGTGACCAGAGACTTGCCCAGCCCAAAGTGCGGGTTGGCCATGCCAGGCTGCCAACAAACAGCACCCCAGCCACTGTGGTAAATGCAGAGCACGCCCCCCAGCCACTGTGGTAAGTATCTGGACCCGAATAAGGAACTGGAATTTGGGCTGGGATTATACCCAGAAATCCTTCTTAGGCCACCTCAGACCATGTCTCTGTGCTACCAGGGGATGCTCCTGGACATCTCCGAATAGAGATTTACCTGGTCCAAAGCGCCCTTTAGCCACACCAGGTTGCTAACTGACACCATCCCCCACACTGTGCTAAGTATCTGGACCCAAATAAAACTGGCTTTTGGGCTGGGATTATGGCTAGAAAATCTGCTTGAACCACCCATCAGAATACCTCTGCACAACCGGGGGACTCTACTGGACGCATCTGACCAGAGTCTTGCCCGGCCCAAAGTGCGGGTTGGCCGTGCCAGGCTGCCACCTGACAGCACCCCAGCCACTGTACTAAGTATAGGGACCCAAATAAGAAGCTGGATTTTGGGCTGGGATTATACCCAGAAATCCTTCTTGGCCCTCCCCATGCCATGCTTCTGTGGCATCGGGGCACTGTCCTGGACATCTCTGACCAGAGACTTGCTCGGTCCAAAACATGGTTTGGCCATACCAGGCTGCCAACAGACAGCACTCCAGCCCCTGTGCTAAATTAATGGACCTGAATAAAGAATTGGATTTTGGACTGCAATTATAGCTAGAAATCCTTCCTGGGCCACCCCAGAACACATCTCCATGCCACTGGGGGACACTCCTGGACATCTCTGACCAGAGACTTGTCTGACACAAACCACCGTTTGGCCGTGCCAAGCTCTCAATTGACAGCACCCCAGCCACTGTGCTAAGTATATGGTCTTGAATTAGCAACTGGTTTGTGGGCTGGGATTAGAGATGGAAATGCTTCTTGGGCCACCTCACACCATGACTCTATGGCTCCTGGACACCTCTAACAGGCTCAAAGCGTGGTTTGGCTCTGCCACGCTGTCAACTCAGAGCACCCCACTCCCTGCAGCAACTGTACTAAGGACACTGGCTTGAATAGGGAACTCTTTTTGGGCTGAGATTAGAAATGGAAATCCTTCTGGCCACCCCACACTGACTGTGGCACCGGTGGACTCCCCCGGACATCCCTGATCAGAGTCTTACCCGGCCCACAGCGCAGTTTCTTCATGCCATGCTGCTAACTGCAGCCCCCATATCTATTAACATAATAAAAGGCTTAGTCTGGCTGTCTGCGTGTCTGTCTGTATGTCTCTCTGTAATGCTTCCAGCCAGCTGCGCGTGCACCCCTGAGAGGGTGGGTGGCGATTGGCTGGGCAGCACATGTTGCGCGGGCCCAAATTTGCACCACTGCTGGGGAATTTTGGCATTGGGGTACATGCCTCAGCCATCCAAGCAGCCAGGCTGCCCCTGCCTCCCTGCCTGAGGGCCAGTGGGGCATCACGGTGGGCACCTGTCCTGGATGCTCCCCAGACAACCGGCAGGGACAGGGAGACGGGGGGCAGGGAGGGAGGGAAAGGGAGGCAGGCAGACACAGGCCAGGTGGACCCAAAACGGCTGCGGGGGGAAGGAGGGGAGCGAGGCCGGACCAGAAGCGGTGGGGAGGGGGCAGGAGTGGGACCACATTTAAGTGGTGGGAGGGAGAAGGACAGTTGGGCTACTGTCTGGGGTGGCCCAACAAGGATTTCTACCTATAATCCCAGCCCAAATTCCAGTTCCTTATTCGGGTCCATACATTTACCACAGTGGCTGGGGTGCTGTTTGTTGGCAGCCTGGCATGGCCAAACTGCACTTTGGGCTGGGCAAGTCTCTGGTCACAGATGTCCAGGACAGTCCCCTGGTGGCACAGATATATTCTGATGAGTGGCCCAAGCAGAATTTCTAGCCATAATCCCAACCCCAAATGCCAGTTCCTTATTTAAGACATTATACTTAGTATAGTGGGCATGGGGGCTATTAGTTGGCAGCCTGGCATGGCCAAACCATGCTTTAGGCTGGGTGGGACTGTGGTCAGGATTCTTTGGGACAGTCCCCCAGTGGCACCACCACAAAATTTGGGGTGGCCCAAGAAGTATTTTTCCCCATAATCCCATCCTAATCTGACCTTCATTTAGGGCTCTGTACCTGATGTGGGATATTATTTTACATATTAATTAGTACATATGCATAGCTAATGAAATTCTCTCTCTTTAGGATGTAGAATTCATTAATAACAAGTTTTTACTGGGTCTAGATTAGCTTTGAAAAAGGAACCGGGAATAAGGAATAAGGAACTGACTTCAGCCTCGTGACAAGACAATGAGGCCCCAGCCCACTGGCTTGAGCTGCGCAGGGAACACTTAGCTGAGCAAGACTTTCATGTAAAGCTGCACGCAGGGACTTTGCCTCAAACGTTTCCTGTTGCACTGGGATGGAGGCCCCTGCCATCCCACTGCGCTGGCGCTTCCACTGTGGTCAAGCAGACTTCATCTGGAGCATAGAGATAGGGCAACACAGGATGCCTGCCATCCCACTGCACTATGCTGGCCTGGAGGGCCGAGCAGGAGCTGGGCCAGGAGTTATATTTATTCCCATTATGTATGGGAAGCTCTGTGCTTCAGAGGGAGATTGCTTGTTGCAGGCAAGGGAGCCACTTCACTGCATGGCCTGTTTCACTTCATAGACTAACCAAAGTTGAGAGAGACAGGGACACATCTAATGAAGTGGGCTTGGGCTCAACCTCAGGCTTCTCTCTCATTAATTTACACCAATGGTTCTCAACCTTTTTGGACTCGAGTCACCTCTCCATAACTTTTGTGATCGAGTGGTATTCCATTTCATCAACTAATGTGTATATTATGGTGCTGATCTGCTTACAGAGGGGCTGAATGATGGGGGTGGGGGATCCTTCAGGCAGGGACAAGCTAGAACCTCATCCAGACAGCCCCAGCACTCTGGTTGAGAAGCGCTGGGCTATACAGTGCAAATCTACCCTTGCCTTCTACGTGACTTCAGACTAACACAGCTGACTACATCTCTGCTCCTGGTGGCGGGAGCCATACTCAGTACTGGGAGCACTGGTGTTCAGCTCCAGGGTGGAGGCTCCAGGGCACAGGGAGAGTGACTGGGATATGCAGCTCTGCCAGTCTTGGCAAGATGCAGCCAGCTGTGGGGCAGAGCAGTGCATAGCAGCATTTGTTTGTAATGGCTGGGAGAGGAGAGTCTTGCATCTACTGAGGGGTCAGCAGGGCACAAGGCAGCTGTCCCCACTGGTGTCTAGCCATAGTGGTTTCTATGCTGGTGGTGCTCAAACCTCCAGGTCTGCCAAGCAGATCCAGTGTGGGTTCAGTCTGCCAGATCTGGCCATACACCCGCTCTGTCCAGGTGCTGGCCCAATCCATCCTCCACTAAATCCAGCTCTGCACTGCACAGACCCTGTGCACAGGGTCATGTCATCTGGCCTGTAGGGCTTCCCTCAGCTCTGAAAATTAGGCACCAGGAGAATGGCAATTATTGCTGCCACTGCTCTTCCTCCTCCAAATTTTCAGACCTGTGGGGAGCCCCTTGGCCTGGATGACACAGCTTCATGGGCTGGATCTGGCCCAAGGGGGGGCAGAGTTTAAGCACTGCTGCTCTGTACCTTCCTGGCCAGGGAGGCTTGCTAAGCCCAGAGTGTCATGTCTCAGCCCTGGTGCACCCTGTTCTCTGTATTCCTCCTCACCCTGGATCCATGGGTGATTCTAGCTTTACTGGGCACCGAGGGACCTGTGACACCCAGCTGACCAAGGCTGAGGGAGTGCAGGGTGTTGGGGTTGTCAAGCCACCACCCTGGGCACATCTGTCCAAACAAAGGCACTGCCTGGAGCCCCAAACCCCATGCTGCTTCTGGACACCTGTGATGCTAGGGACACACATGTCCAGAGTAGTGCATAGCCCAGCATGATCGCTCCAGGCAGAGAAGGCTAAGCCCCCTGGAAGGGGTTTGAATGCATCAGGGCTGCAACCCTCATGGTTTCCCAGCTCCCTTCTCCAGCCCCGCCACCATTTCATGCACTCTTGGCCTCCACAGTGTGTCATCCCCTCCCCTGTCCTTCCTGGCAGGGCTCAGCCTAGCCCATACCCCACACAGCATAGGCATCAGGCCCTTGGCAGTTGGCTGGGTGAGTTGCAGAGTGGGGACCACACTGGGTTCTTCCTATCCCAATTCCTGCCAGAAGCTGCTGTGTCCCCCTGATAAGCTGATTTGGGGGCAGGGGCAAGGGCGGGGGCTGTGACAGACTGCCCTGATAAGTGGCAGGAGCCATGTCACTGAGTGTTAGCACTGCCTGTCTGCCCCAGTGCTGTGCTGCAGGGAACACCCAGAGCACTGGTTCCCTGGTGAGAAGGAGGGAAGAGAGGATGATGGCTTTAAACTGTGCATCTGGGCTACAGCTGCCTCCCATCTGGCTCAGCTGCTGGGTCCAGCTGCTCCTGATTCCCCAGGGACCATGGCTGGTGCAAGCCCTCAATCTGCGCTCAAGCTATCCCACTGTGTACACGGGGCCTGACCGCAGCTACTTTGGTTTCTCTATGGATTTCCTCCAAGCCAGCAATGGCAGGTGGGTGATGGGGCAGGGCTGGGCCCATCTCTACTCTGCCCCTGTGCCCCTAGGACACAATTGAGGCCTGGGGCACTCTGAGGGTGAGTAGGGGTGGGCAAGGGCAATTCTTGTAGCTTTGGAAGCCCAGGAGAGGAGTGGTGAGGCTGGCAGGTGGCATCTGCTGGGCACAGCCCCAGGTTAGCTCCCCCAAGGATGTGCCACGGATCTGAGTGTGTCTAGGGGGTCCAGGTGCCCTGTCACTGGGGTCCACTGTCCCCCATAGGACTGCTTGTTAGGCAGAGGGCCCTGCTGCCTGTGCAGCCTGTGGGTTGCTAGTCACATCATCACCCCTGTGCCAGGAGTGTGCCCAGCACCAGTGCCCGCAGCCTAAATGAACCCTTTCTACAAGAGTGCTAGGGCTCAGGCTATGTGCTACCCATAGTGGGGTCTGAGCAGCCCACTCCCTTTGGAGTTGCTAGGAGTAGCTTTCTGGGCTGCTTCTGCCTCGGTGACACCTGCAATCCTGGGAGGGCACCTGCAGTGTCAGCACTTGTTGGGTTGCTCCTACACAGTCCTTGCTGTAGTGGAGATCCCAGTCCTCTAAGGAAGTGGTGCTCAACCTCTTTTGTACCAGGACCTATTTGTAAACATGGATGGCCAGTCCCGACCCAGTGCCCCTCACTCCCAACCCACTGCCCTACAGGCTCCAGCCCCACAATATTTGGGGCAGGGGGTGGGTGTGTGGGGCAGAAGGGGGGTGTATGGGGCATTGGGGGGGGGTGCCAAGCAGCCCCTCACAAGCTGGAACTCTGCCAGCCTGCAAGGGAAAAGCCACCGTTTCCCACATTTTTCTCCTTTAAAGGAGAATCCATTTTTAAAGTTTGCTCGTGACCCTTTCATATATTCTTGCAACCCACTTTTGGGTTGCAACCCTTGGCTTGAGAAACACTGCTCTAGGGCAGCCATGAGTCCTTGTTAGGGACCCAGGGCATTCTAGGGCTGCCCTCTTCTGCCAGTCCCAAAATGGCAGGCAGTGCTGCAATATGCAGCTGCTCGGTCCCACGGCTGCATTGCAGCATGGGGCAAAGAGGCTCTGAGTCGTTCCCTGATACCAGGCACTTCCTCACAGTCTGTGAATGAAGCAGCAGAGGCCTGGGCAGGGAGTGGAAGGCAATGGGCAGCAAAAGGCAGCCAGAACAGCTGGGCTGGCAGGATTCTCTAGACCAGGAGCCCTCCAGAGTCCCCAGACCCTAGATCAGGGTCTGTTCTACCTCCCCTGGGGGCTCTGCTCAACCCCCATTCAGCAGCCTGCATGTGATGCTGCGGGGGCCCAGTGGCAGGGGTACATGCCTGGCCCTGACATGGGTGACTCTTTGTGCCCACAGCATGAATATAGTGGTGGGAGCCCCGAAGGCTAACACCTCGCAACTTGATGTGATTGAGCCCGGAGCCGTGTTCTTATGCCCCTGGGCGCCCCACGGGAAGCCATGCTACGAAATACCATTTGACAGCAAAAGTGAGCACCTGCTGGGCTGCGGAGAGAGCTGAACTTCCTGCCTCTAGCCTGCGCCAGGGCACTTGGTGATAAACTGGGGGAGATAGGAGTGGGCGTGGGGAGGGGCAGAGACATCCCTCCCAGTGTGGAGCAGAGTTGGTGCTGGCATGTGTGTGGGGAGAGGCAAGATTTCCAGATTTCCCACAAAGCAGGTGCCAGCTTTTGGCCAGGCTGTGGGGAGGAGGTGCATCCCTAGTTAGGTTTGGCTGAGGTGGGTCAGGGGTCTCTAGTGCCACCCTGGCAGCTTCAGCCCGGCTCTCTAATTGAGCTTCTGCTCTCCCCAGGGGATCAGGTGGAGTCCAGATTTGACTTCCAGCTGAAGAACTATAAATCACACCAGTGGTTCGGGGCATCCGTGAGCACCTGGAAGAGCAACATGGTGGTGGGTCCCATGGACAATACAGATCCTTGGGCAGCACAGTCCCTCTGGAAGGAGCCAGCAGAGTTGGGTTGGACTGGGAGACTGTAAGGGGCACCTATGGTGGGAGATGGAGGAAGGGGAGACCCTATGTCCAGGTGCTGGCTGCTTGTGGCCACTAGGGAGCCAGCCCATGGCATTGTGATGGGAGAGGAGGGGGCGGCTGGTACATTTGGTTACAGCCCTTCCCTCTGAGCTGTCACCAGGGAACAGAGTCCCACCAGGCATCCTGGCCTGCAGTCACTATGTGGCTGTTCACCAAATAAATGGCATGTTGGTCCTGAGGGTTGGATAGCCCCTGGCAGGGAGATACAAGGGAAATGTGGATGTTGGTGGCTCGTTATGAAGGAAGCTGGGGAAGTCTGGGGCAGAGACAGCCCAGCAATTAGAGGTTCCAGCATCACCTGCTGATGGCCCGGGGAGGGGGGGGGGTGCGTGGAAGGGGCAAGATGGGCCTGGCCAGCATGGGACCATGCTCTCAGCAAGATGCCGGAGAGCAATGGCTCCCAGCAGTCGATTGGGGGGGAGGAGGGGGGGGGAGAGGAGGTGCCTGGGCGTTAGCTGGGTCTTCTCCGTGCCCTGCAGGCCTGCGCCCCCCTGCAGCACTGGAACGTTTTTGACCACTTGGCACAGGCACAGGCCACCAAGACACCTGTCGGCACCTGCTTCATGGCCTCCAACAACCTGAGCCACTTTGCTGAGTATTCGCCCTGCCGCTCTCACCAGATGGATTCAGTGTATGCTACGGATGGCTACTGTGAGTGAGGGATTCCCCAGGGCCAGTTGCTGAGACCAATGCGCACTCTCCCCCACCCCTCACCCTGGGGCACTTTTCCATGTAGAGATGGGGTGTGACACAGGGACTCTGAGTGTGCACAGGCTATATCCGCAGGTACCTGGAGAGCAATGGATGTCCCTGCATTGCCCCCAGCTGTGTGCTGCTGCAGGCTCCTGCTTTCACCACTGTTTGGCTGGGAGTAGCTTATCTGCCCCCATCACTACCAACGCTCATGCCCAGGCCCTCACAACCCCCAGTAAAGTAGCATCACCCTGGGGAAAATGAAGCACAAAGAAGCTGGGCCCAGCCTCCACTGCGCTCAGTGCCCAGCATGCCCGACTCCCTCCACTTCAGTTCCCAAACTCTCCCAGGGAGAGGAGGCAGAGCCAGGCAACAACCAAGCCCCAGCCTGGTGCCAGTCCCAGCTCAGTCTGGGTGCTCTCTGTAGTTGCCATTACAGGGGGCTGGATCTTGGGGCCTGGGAAACCCAGGGCTCCTCCTCTACCTGTTTTCTACCTCGCTTCCTAATAACTTTGGGTGTCTATACACATGCTGTGGGGTTAGGGGGCGGGGAGGGCCGGTGCTTTCATTAGAGCACCTCCGAGAGCCACTCTAATTAAAAGTGCCCGCAGTGTCACGTATTCAGCATGCCAGGCTTCAAAATGGTGGCAGGGTACTTGGACTATAGCTCATATGACAAGGTTTAGTTAAAGCACCCTCGCCACCACTCTGAAGCGTGTGTGTGACATGGAGGCTGCTAGAGCATGTTAACATGCACCCACAGATTCAATTAATCTAATGCTAATTGGCACACATCTCAGCAGACATCCAGCATGTGTATAGGTGTCCTTTGTGCCTGTGAGGAGCTGAGTACTAGTGTACCCTGCTGTGCCAGGACTTCAGGGACTGTTGCCCTGGTGCTTAGCGGGAGCTGGGCCTTTCCTCCTTAGCCCACGTGGACGTGGTCAAACCAAAATTGTGGCCAGACAGCTGGGGCTGGTGCCCAGCCTGCAAGCATGCAGGTTGGGGCATAGTCTCACATTATGCTTAGTTCCCCAGAGGTCTGGGTGCAGCCAGATGGATGTGAGAGGCACCAGGTCGGAGTAGATGCTGTCCTGCACTTGCTGTGTCAGACCTGATCACAGTCCACATGCTGGTGCCCAACCTAGCATCTCCTGCTGCCCCACAGAAGACCAGAGGGCTGACTAGTTAGGACCCAGCTCAGCCCTGTGCTGCAGGAGCTTGTCCCCAAGGCCTTGCAGGAACATACAGAAGGACTGTCCACCCCTTCCTGGGTCAGCTGGGGCCTCCCCAGCCTGGAAATAGCAGCTTGGATTCTGCTATCAGGTCACGGCTGAGGTCTGGTTTGGAATGAGGAACCCAAAACCCACCGCTTTTCAGCCCCCACAGCATCCCCTAGCTCCTATCCTGCCTAGCTCCAACACTTCCTCATGCCCCTCTCCACAGACAATGACAAGCGGTACTGTGAGGTTGGCTTCAGCTCCACCGTCACTAGTGTGAGTAGGACCATGGCGGGAGCCATTGCAATGTGGGATCATGTGTGCTTGTGGGTGCCTAGGTCCATGGGGAGGCAGTGGTGTGTATACCTCTGAGTGGGTGGGGGTGCACACTCCTAGAGGTGTGTGTGTTTGCTCTGGAGGTACGCATGCAGGCCATGGGTATGTGTGTCCGTGATGGGGGTTATGCTCAGAGGTTGGTGCTTGGGGGAGGCAGTGTTCATGTATGTGCCCAGGGATGCATGTGTGTGGACATACATGTGCATGCCTATAATAGGGATGTGTGCCCAGGCGTGTGCATGTTCCCAGAGGGCTATATGTTCCCTTGCAGACTGGCACACTGGTGCTGGGGGCCCCAGGAGGATACTACTTTGATGGTAAGTGTCCTCTGCTCCTCCCCAGGCCAGGCCTGGGCTCTATTGCTCTGGGAGGGGCCGAGCCACATGAGTTCCTGGGGCTCCTGGCAGGGCAGGACCCAATGTCCTCCTGGCATGATTCATCTCCCTGCAGAGCCACCCAGAGAGGGGTGACACATGTGCACCAGCCATCCTGCCCACCTCTCCCCTCCTTGTGTCTTGCCCCTGCCTACAATGCAGCTGGAGGCATTGCTGCTGCCCATGCCAAGGGATACTTGGGAGCAGGCTCTGACTAGAAGCCCCAGCCAGTGTTGATCCAACTTCCATGACATCCAGGCCCCCAGCTCAGTGCGGCAGGACCTCCCAGAGCCTTGGTCATGGCCCTGGGAGCAAGGAGGTGCCTGCGGCTCATGCCTCCCTGCAGCTGGGAAATGCTAGTGGAACCAGCCAGTGAGATCTCGCCCCTACCTTGGGCAAATTCAAGAGGAGATTGGATGATCACCTGTCTGGGGTCTTGTGAACCCAGCATTCATTCCTGCCTGTGGCAGGGGGTCAGGCTAGATGATCTGTTCAGGTCCCTCCTGACTCTAGCTGCTATGAAACCAGAGATCCCACCCCTCATCAGGCACAGGCCCAGGAAGGCCTGAGTGACTTTGAGTCCACTGTGCATGGGATAGGGGAGAGGAAAGGGACATTAACCCTTTAATGTTGTCTTGCCACCTCCCCCCATCCCAATCACTTTCTCACTTGAGGATTCTGGATGTGCCCTCAGGGATGATCTTCACAGTCAGTTTGTCTGCAATCGAGTCCTCCTACCGCGGCACTGCCATGATCTGGTCAGTCAAGGAGGAGCAGGTGTCAGAGGAGGTACGCCATGGCTATGAAGACTCATACAGAGGTGAGTGGGCACTGGACAGCACTTCTGCCCACTGCCCCCAGCTGGTCTTTAACTTCACACCTTCCTCACCACTGAGGAACTGGGGCACAGAGCAGAGCAGTGTTTGCACAAAGGCACCCACAAGTCACTGGCAGAGTCCAAGCTCCCAGCCACCCTGCTCTAACCCATCAGGCCCCACATACCTTCCAGAGCTGGGAAGAGACCCCGGAGTCCTGGTGCTCTCCTGCCCTAACTGCTAGTTCTTCCCTGTCCCTACCCCTTGGCATCTCTCCTCCACATGCTGACAGCTCTGCCCATATCATGTGCAGTAGATGGGGCTTTGTGGGAGTGAGTTAGTTAATCCAAAGTCTCTCTCCCTTTCAGGGTACTCAGTAGCTGTGGGGGAGTTTGACGAGGATCCCAGGACGGCAGGTATGGTGATTTGCCCTGTGTGCTAGGGTGCCTCATTCTCTTCTCCCTAGGAGCTCTGGTGTTCAACAGATTGTCCCATGCTGCACTGGGCTCCCTTCCCCTGGGGCTGCCAGCTGGGGTCCTCAAACCATGATACTGTGGGGATGTCTCACTCCCTGCCAACAGCTGGCAGGCATTTCCCCACTGTCCTGCCCCCTACTAGTCTCTGTGCACCACAGCTCTCAGTGGAGCTGGTCACAGAGGCTCCCTCCAAGTGAGCTGACAATCCACGGGCAAATGGGACCTGTGGCCCCAGTGCTGCTCTCCTGTCTCATACCTGACTCACCAGAGAGCCTGGGCTTAGCCATCCCCCAGGAGTTTCTCCCACTGTGCCTCTGTCTCTGACCTGGGGGGTGGCTCTGCAGGACCTGTCTGGCCTGGGCACCATACCCATGAAGTTACCAGATGCCCAGTTTGGTGTGTAGGCCAAAGGTGCCCAAATCTCCCCAGATCCAGGGCATGGGCAGTGCCCTCTTTGAGGGGCATTGCAGAGCCAGCCAAGGCCAGGCAGTGCTCCTTTCTCATGCCCCTCTGGTCCCTCAAGGAACCCCCCAGTTCTTGCAGGGGGTCACAAAATGAGCCTAGTCAGTGGTGACAGGGAGCAAGTGCAGTTGGGGTCCTAGGCTTGGGGCAGGGTCCTGGGCCATTCACACAGGGCTTGTGTGTTTCTTTTGCAGAGTATGTGGTGGGCGTCCCCAACAAATACAACACCAAAGGTGGAGTGAGTATTGTCCCCACCTCTATGTCACTGACCAGCCCGGAGGCCTGGTTTTCTTGCCCAGTCCAGGGCACTGAAGCTGTTCTGGAACAGACCCAGGCACTGGGGGCTGCTGTCATTCTGCCTGGTCCTGCTGTAATTCCCTCCTGCTGCCACAGAGGCACTGTGGGGCTCAGGTGGGGTAGCAGCTTCTCCCTAAGGTGCCAAGGCCTGAAGACCCATGTTGGTACCTGGGGAAGTGCCCTCAGGCAGGAGGATGGCGTGGGGCCCTGGGCCCTGCTCTTCCATAGGGGAATCTATGTAGAGGGCAGGTCCCTTCTACCCTGGGGTAGGAGCTACCTTCAGTCCCTCCTAGCTGGTTTGTTTCTCCCCATGGCAGGTCGAGATCTTGAGCACCTACGAGAAGCTGCAGCTGCTGCAGAATATCCAGAGCGAGCAGGTACCAGCCCCCAGCACCGTCCCACTCCCTGCTTTCCCCCCAGCAGGGCTCCTGCTCCCCCAGTGCAACCCCCTGGCACCAGCCCCTGCTTCCCTACCCTGCCCTGTAACAACCTGCCACATCACCCACTCTGTCCCCAAATAGGACCCCAGCCTTGACCCCTACTGGATGATCCCCACTGCACTGCCCCAAACACTTGCCTCTTGCCCTTAAGTTATCAGTCTCCGAGAAACATGGGTCAGGTTGAGAGGCACTGGCAGGGCTCTGAGGGGAACTCAGGGCTGGGGAAGCAGAGGATCTGGGTTGGGATTTTGGGCCCCCTGCATGCAATGACCCCTGCATGCAATGTCCTCCTTCAAGACAAGCACCCCTAGGACTGGGGGTCCGGGCTCAGCCCAGTGCTCACCCTCACCTCATGTCTTCCAGATTGCTTCTTACTTTGGACACACAGTGGCTGTTGCGGATGTCAATGGAGATGGGTGAGGGCATTTCCCCCTTCCAGGGCCAGGCTGAGGTCTTAGCAACACTGTTGGGGCAGGTGGGGCGTCCAGTGGCTTCAGAGAGGGGCCTTCCCTGAGTCTTGCAGGCTGAGCTGAGGGTGTCCAGAGTGACCTGCACTGCACTGACAGGGGTGGATGCAGAAACCTGTGGGGTGACAGGTGCTCGTGAGTGAGCAGCTTGAGCCCTATGCCCAGTGCTGCTTGTCTGTGGTGACCCCAACAGGGCCCAGCTCAGCCCCTGGAGCCTCTGCTTCACCCCCTTCAGCCTCATTCGGAGCTGTGCACACAGGGAGGGAGCCCTGCCAGATCCCCTGTCTCCCAGCCCCATAAACTGCACAAATCCCAGTGCACAGTCTAGACACCTTGCAGCTGGTGATGGTTCCACGGCACAACCAGGCCTGCCCCACGATGGGTGGAGGCACTGGGCAGCACTGCTTGCCCTCCTGCCCTGGAGATACTCTGATGCTCCCAGCTCTCCTCTTGCTTTTGGGTCTGGCAGGCTCCTCCTGATTCCTCATGTTGGGTTTGTGCTGCCACCTGGTGTGCACTGCAGGTGGTACAGCGTGGCATGAGGCAGGCTCTGGCTCCAGCAGGGGCAAAGGGGATGGGAGGCAGGAGAGGGGCAGAGCCATATGTTGCAGGGGCACCACCCACCCACCCCATTTGTGGTGGTCCAGTGGCCACCTATTGCTCCCCCAGTTGCCCCAGGGGAAGGAGCAAACTGAGGAGGGGCTCGGCCTCACTCTCAGGGCAAAGGGCTGCAGGCTGCCCCCATGCTACCTGGGCCAAGGGAATGGGCTGGAGGTCATTCAGGAGAGCTGCGCATGCCAGCTGCTGCTGTTTATGAAGCACAGGTAGGTGAGCTCCCTCCCCACCTGTCCATAGCTGGGGACAAGCAGATAGGAGACAGCTCTGCATGGCTCCCAGAGCACTCAGCCAGAAGAACCCCAGGTTATGACAGTGTCCTGCAGCCTCAGTGCTGACAGCGGCAGGGGCAGGGAGCCAGGGCACCCTCTGCTCATCCCAGGGGAGCAGTGAATGTGGGCACTCCAGAGACTTGCACCCCTGGCCCCATTGTCCCCATCTCTGCCCCCCGTCTGGGGTCACTGTAACCCTGCCTAGGCCCTGTGGGCCAGCCCTGCTGTTCTGACCCCACTATCAAGCAGGCCATGGCTCTGGGGCTGGGGCTTTGCCCTTGTCTGAGCTGTCCCTGTCTCCCAGGAAAGACGATATCCTGGTGGGGGCCCCGCTGTACATGGAGCACCGCTCTGACCGGAAGCTGTATGAGGTGGGACGCGTCTACCTGTACCTGCAGCTGGGACGTCCCTACAGCAACCCCTGGCAGAAGCTGACGGGCACCGATGTGTACGGCCGCTTTGGCACCGCTATTGCACCACTCGGGGACCTGGACCAGGACGGCTACATGGGTAATGCCAGCCACACCTCACCCAGTTGGCACACAGGGCCTGGGCACACATCCTCTTCCCTGGGTCTCAGCCCATCCCTGCTTCATGGCTGAGGCCTGTGTATCTAGCACCAGGGAGGGGCTGGGGTAGGGGTGTTGTGTGTGCACTGTGGCAGGGGATGGGCCCTGTGGGTTGGCATGGAGACCTGCCCATGGGACATGAGACTGGTGGGGCTGGAGGTTGGGCAGAGCAGAAGGGGCAGATGAGCATGACAGCAGTCCCTGGCTGGGTTGGGATGAGTCCAGCCCTGGAGTAAGTGAGCTTATGTGTGCCTTGGCAGGGGCACATGGGCCTGCCCTGGGCTGGAGCTGCTGCTTCTGCTGCCCCCTCCCTACCAGCACTGCCTGGATCCTTGCCTTCCCTCCCAGCCCTTGCCCTGGGTTTGATTTTTCCCTGATGATGTCCACAGGGCCCATACTGTGGTGCTTCATTGCAGCCATTGAGCTGGGGGCTGGCTGAGTGTGGGGAGCCAGGGGACACTTGGGCAGCCTGATGCTTGTGCCTCCCTGATGTTGGAGTGCCTGCGTGGTCAGACTGCCAGGGCAATGCTGGGCCATGACAGAGCAGCCACTGGCCATGGGCATCCTCATGGAGAGGAGGGAAGCATTAAG